CTCATTTGGAGTTTATTTTCTCCCCACTCATAATAATAATAAAAGATTGGTTCAGGATAGTACATTCCTACCTTGTAGAGGAAACTGTCTATCTTTAAACAAGTTCAGGCAGAAAAACAAGGACCCTTATTTCTAGAAAAGTTAAAATGCCAAGGACTTGCTTTTTCAAGTTTTCTGATGACTGAAATTATTACACTCTTAGTTTGTACTTAATTCAGTTTCACAACAAGTTAGAAATAAGAACATTATATTAGAAGGAAAAATCTAGTCGAGCATGTCATTTTAAATATTTAAATATTTAAGAAAGACTCAATCATTTTTCCTACTAAATTTTTCAAGAATAAAATAAATTCCTAGTGGGAGCCCAAGCATTCTTGTAAGTTGATCTCTCAGTTAAAGAAAGGCAGCAGCAAGGATGAAATTACATTCTTCTATCAGGAAGATAAATTGGCAAATGTGCCAGAAGGCTGTTACATTTCCAAGCTCTTTTAATCACAGAATGGTTGGGATTGGAAGGGACCTCTTGAAATCATCTAGTCCAACCCCCCTGCTAAAGCAAGTTCCCCTACAGCCGGTTGCCCAGGATCATGTTCAGGCAGGTTTTTGGTATCTCCAGAGAAGAATCATCCATGGCCTCTCTGGGCAGCCTGTTTCAGTGCTCTGTCACCCTCACAGTAAAGAAGTTCTTCCTCATATTCAGATGGAACTTCCTGTGTTCCAGTTTGTGTACATTAACCCTTGTCCTATCACTGGGTACTATTCAAAAGAATCTGGCCCCATCCTCTTGACATTCACCCTTAAGGTATTTGTATGCATTGATAAGATCCCCTTTTCCAAGCTAAACAGGCCCAGCCCCCTTTCTCCATAAGAGAGATGGTTCAGTTCACTCATCATCTTCGTAGCCCTCCGCTGGACACAGTAGCCATTATTAATGTATTTGTGATAGTTTAACCCTACTGTGGGCTCACATCAACACTTTACTAAGTGCTTCCAAAGATTTTGTTGTGGTCTTCTTTCAAATTATTTGCAGTATTTATCACCTTTATAGAATTCTTCGTTCTACTTCTGAACAGCTCATTCAGTAAATTTCAAGGCAATAAAATAATTCAGAATTGAGCGGTCTGTGAGCCTTCTCTATCCAGAAGGCCACAAATCCCTTGTAACTAGAAATATTTTGTTTGGTATCTTCAAAGACAACCGATGGTAGCCAAGACCTCACCTATGACTAATAAAGGTGGAAACATACAACACATCTCTTTACACAACTTCCAAATGCAACAATTTTGGAAATGTTATATTTAACATTTAAAATTGTGAGACAAAATAAAAGCGTTTCAGCCACTGCTATTTTCCAACTTTTTCCACATAAACAAATTCTGTTTATTAACATAGTTTCTCTCATATTTGGTAAAGAAAATCCAAGGTCAAGACAGTAAAAGATAGCAAGTAGTGGCCAATCCACGAACCGCACAATGTCCATCAGGAAAAATTTCACAAGAACGCGGCCTAAAAATTTTCCTTGGTAATAAGAATCAATACTCCAGTCTGTCTCATAAGCCAGACTTCTCTCAGAAGCCACTGCAAGAGCAATATGTAATGACTAAATAAACAGTCATTGCAAAGTTTGGAATAAGTAACCTTTACCGAACAGGGCTCTTGCTGTTCTTTGCCTGTTGGTGTGAAAGTAATAAGCAGTTGCTTACTCTCAGTCAAAGAAGAAGCTGCTGTATAGTTGCTTTGAGAAACTATAGATGGTCATTCACTCTCAGACTACAGGCTCATTCAGCAAGCAATATCAGAAGCCATATTTATAGCACTGGCATGTCCTTTACTTGGAAACTATTTCATAGCTGAAAATTCATATCCATCCACTGAACTCAAAGAAACCTGTTCATTTTTATATGAAATGGAAGCACATTCCAGTTAGCATCCAAAGTAAATAAACAACCACTGTAAACAAATATTTAGACAAAGCCACATTGCATGTACTACACTTATGTAGTTGGGCCATACAAGACACAGGGAACACACATGAATGAAGTGTTGTAAAGTAGTTTACTTTAGAAGCTGTTGGTATCTGTTGGTATCTAACACTTGTCTTCAAGTTCTCCTCAGTTTCATTACGAAAGCCAGTCCCTAACATCCACCAAGATAACTTAATTCTAATTCACTGAATTTCAAAGGGAATTCACTAATTGTCAAAGTCTGTATCTTGAAAAAAATATTGGTAAAAGAACTCTCATCAGTCAGCTCTTAACTAAAATGAATATACAAAAGAGACCACAATTACTTTGAAAAGAGACAGGTCTTAAGACAGCAGGAATTTTCAGTGTGTACATGTGTTATGAAAAAAGAGGCAAAAGTGGAAAACCACATTTAGACACCCAAACAAAGAAAGACTACAGGTCAAGCCTTGCACATTAAATCATAATTGAACAGAGATACTTACATAGGCATAATTTTGAAGGACCAAATTATGTCCTTAGGTATATGCCAACTCATTTAAATATCTAGGAAATTACACAAGCATTCAAAGGGATGTTAGTCATATGTTTTGAAATACCCAGGTTCACAGTATTTGAATTGTCAGTTATTACACTGAATTTCCATGATTCATTTATTCATCAACATGAAGTTTAACAGAAAGGAACTCAAAACAGCACTTTGTATGTCCAAAAAATCATTATCTTTTTCTTCCAAATGTGAAACAAAGCTACACATTGATGTATGTACCAAGCAGTGATAAAACCCCACCTTCCTATACACATCAAACTGTTAAAGTAACTGAACAGAAAATAAGAATCCTATTTTTTAATAATTTGCTTTACAAAAAGAGGATGAAAACTCTAATATCTTCAATGTGGAGTTATCTGCACATGGAGCATGAAAGCATAATTGATGTAATATGGTTGCTTTTAAAGTACATTAATGTGATTCATCACAAGCTGCACAAATTTACAGTAATATATTTAAGGAATTAGTAAGCAATTTCTGAATGGTTAGTGATCATTCCCAAGAAATCAAGAATGATTGCTGTGGTCCTAAAAGATTGCAGAATGGCAAATACAGTGCTTCAAACTTAAAAATAGTATTTCAAAAGGAAAGGTCTGTTGGCCCTTTCTTAGTTACACATAAAAACAGTGGAACAAATTAGTAATGAGTAAACCTGGAAGTACTCAGAAGTATGTTAGCAATTAAAAACCAAAACCTTTATTACTGATTTGCCAAAGAGAAATCACAGCAAATCAACTAATTTTCCAACTTAATGGTACAGCCATTCTAGACAGCTGATGTCTAGAATCTAAGCAATATGTTCCAATACTTTGACCCAGTCAGATCTTTTAACACTGTTTTCAATTAGAGATTCAAAAGCCTGGAGAAAATGTGACACACATTAAAGATGAGAATACCACTGCTGGAAAAATACCTTATATCCTAATAATTGTACTCATACAGTCTTCAAAAATCTTCTGCCAAATGAGCCCTGAGTGTACCACTGGGCTCTGCAAGCTCTTCCCCCCCACCTAGGGTTCTACTTGCCAGTGTTGAAGGTCAGCTCTGAGATGGTGTTCCTGCCTCAGTGGGATTCCTTTTGTCCCCCATGCCTTGGGAGCTGCATGTATCCTCAGGCCCTTTCCTCGGTTCCTTCCCAACCTACACTGTGGAAATGCTGTGCCTGGCCCCGTACCTTGTCGATCCCAGCTTGACCTCAGACCTGCCTCATCCCCATGGACCTGTCTGGCAGCCACAGGCACTTGGATGAACATGGCTGCTATTCCCAGACCTATTATTTTTGCTTGGACAGTGAAGGACTGCAAAACTTGTCATTAAGGACACTGTCCCTGCCTCCCTTCTCCTGTGGTTCAGCTCACTCCTGCTATTCCTTGGCAGCAGGTTCTGCAGGCAATCTGTACTATATAACATTTTAAACACCAACTCAGAAGATGGCATAGACAGCGCTGTTTATGAAAAAGAGTAAACAGATCTTGTTTCATTTATGAAATACATCAATTTCTATTTATGAAAAGATTAAACCTTTTGGGAGAAGCTGGCATCATCCAGCAAAAGTCTACAGAGGTTTCAAGTACACCACCTTTGTAAATTCAAGTAGATAACAAGGATGCTAAACAGATGAGACTGTATATTTTAATATGTGCAAACTAATAACAATTAGCATTTTATATTCCTTGCTATATAGGTTAGATCATTAGTGTCTTTTGTTAAACTTTTTCTAAGGGCTATTACAAAAGAGAAACATCTGCTAAAAAATTATTCTATCCTTGCTAAGGAAAAGCTAAGCTAAAGGAAGATTATTTTATGGGGGAAAAACCAACTTGGTTAATAAATAAATAAAGAAATAGCCATCAGCAAAGATACTAGCCATAGACTTAGATAATACTCATGTGTACATCTCTTATCTGCTACTGGAGATTTTAAAGGACAGCTTTGATACATAGCTAAGAAGGATAACCAAAGCCATTAACTGAAGATTTTAATGGTAATGATGTTACATATAACTATTATTGTGTCAGGGGAGGTTTAGGTTGGACATTAGAAAAGGGTTCCTCACCCACAAGGTGGCTGGGCACTGGAACAGGCTTCCCAAGGAAGTGGTCATGGCACTATGCCTGACAGAGTTCAACAAGCATTTGGAGAATGCTTCTAGGCAGGTGGTGATTCTTGAGGCTGTCCTGTGCAAAGCCAGGAGTTGAACTTTTATGATCCTTGTGTGTCCCTTCCAACTCAGAATATTCAGTAATTCTGTGATTAATGTTTTGACTTTTTACTCTGATAGCCATGTAAAAAACATTTAAGGCATTTACATTTTCCACAGATATGTGCCCATAAAACCCCTGGACACTATTAGATAAAGAATTAAAAATTGGATCAAATATCTCAGTAGTAGAAATGAATGCAATTTCAATGAAGCAAAACAGAGATTTAATTTCATCATTAAATAATGAGTTTGTTTCAGGTATTGTAAGAGATCTTTAACTCACCTGGTTGCCAACTAAAAGAAGATGTTCTCCCAGCAGAAAGTCCTTGAGCATATCTTCCATTACCATCATGTGCTAGAGAAACAAAACCACAATTTTCACCCCTGTTTTTATGCTCTCAAGTTTATGCATTTGCTAATGACAGCAGTACAACAGGAACTTTACTTAAAGTTTTTGAACTTTATACTTAAAGTTACCTATTTCATAGCAAGAGTCTCAGTCAATAATAGCAAAGGCAATATATCCAACAATGACACAATGACACAAAAATACAAACTCCCCACATTTATGTCCTCTGCTGTAACTGATTGTGGGTGCCTGATTTCCCTAAATATATTTAACTGTCTGTAATCACTCCTTGTACGTTTCCTTTTAGCCTAGTTGAATGCTTGTTACCAAGAGTGTAAGAACTTTCTTTAGTACACGCAAATTTTCCAGCAACTGTACCTGGAGGAAGCAAAATGTATCCTAGTAGAACATTAGAGAAACCAAACAGAGAGAATAAAAGACAGTGTACATGTAAATTATACACATATTTTATTAAAGATTAAACAACAGGTCTAATTAATGAAAAATACACTTTTTCTATTCTAATAAAATTTCATTTTCAAGGAAAATAAAGACAGGAAAATGTATGCTCAAATCTGAAAGTGTTTATATGTGTCTTACGATATGTAGCTAATTATTTTAGGTACATTTTTATTAATTATTAATTTATATGTGCCTCATTGAAGCCAAAGTGCTTGAGGTGTATTTTTACATATATTTTATATCATAAAAGGTAACACACACTGTACCTCATTTAACCTTATCTTGCTACTCACAAATAATTTGTTTAAAAGGATCAAAAGGATTTAAGGATAATGTGGCAATGCAGACTACTTTACTTGCAATAAAGTCGTGTCTATTTCTCCACTGTATCTAGTAAAAATAGGTCATCTGTAAGTAGGTCGGTCAACCTACTTAGAGAAATGAATGCTTGCCTTTAAATAAACATAAATTTTTTCACATTATCATCTCATCTCTAGTGCTTGATTAAAAAAGAAAATAATTAAAAATCAGTAGCTTTCCTGTAATTTCTGAGCATAGAAATGCTCATGTTTCTATGTGAAGGATATTTTACATTTCCAAATCTCTCTAGAACACAGGCTGGGGGTGGGGAAAGAAACTCTTGTAAATACAGTGCAATACCACAAAATCCTAGCCAGGCACGTCAAAAGACTACTGAATACTCAATTCACGATTTAATGAGAGTACTTCAAGGCAAATTATTATATTTTCTGGCATGTGTATACACTGGACATTCATAACTGATGAAAATAATTTTGACCAGGTACAGGATAAATTCTAGGAAGCCAGTTTACCACACACATTGATTGAGTTTTTTATCTTATTGCTAGGGCAAAATACATCCTTCTGATGACTTCTTTTTTAATCCTAAATTGAATAAATATGTGTACATTATGGTTTCCCTGCAAAGCACCTTAGCCACAAGAGATATTATGTATTGATACTACTTCTTTTCTGGTTTGGTTGGGGTTTTTTTGGGCACTAGGACTTAAATTAGCGTGCAGACATTTAATATTAGTTACTTACACAAAGGACTTGTAAGTAGACATATCAATATTGTATCACCTTTTGCCTTTATTCACCCATGTTCCCCAACACTTGGCCTGAAAATGGCATTTGGCGTATTACCTAAAAAACTATTTCCATCCCTGTGCCACTTGTTCTGGACCAACAGCAGTGTTCCACAGTAATATCAAATTTCACTGGAACATGAATTGTTTCAAGACCAAACAGAGAGAGGCAAAAACCTATGCATTTCATTACATTGTGCAGCACTGCAAAGGGCTGAGGACATATATTTTTCTCTGTTTCAATTTGTTTCTGTGGTTTCTAGAAAATGGAGATGTACTGCACTGAACTCAAATCAAATTTGTTCTGCAGTAGGTTTTGCTAAATGATCATTACAGCACTGGAATGACCGAACTACAAACTAGCAATGGAATATAAGAGTAGAATTCGTTTAGAAATGGGAACAGCTATCCTGACTGATATTTGGTTGCTGTTTCCTTCAGCATTTAGAGGGCAGGGACAGATACAGAGCTACCAGGGACAGATACAGAGCAGGTCATTCTCTGCAGCATTTTTAACAGAGGTTCCCTAAACAACATCTGAACACAGGTTGTTTACAGTTTTCTGAAGCTATAAGCAAGAAGGTGGAAAAAGCAATGCTAGCAGAACTCAGGATTTCATTTCCCACAGGCTCAAATTATGTAATTTATCGAAATGGCAACACAGAATAAAATCTCACACGAAATGTTAGTGGGGAAGATGAAGAAGTCTGTCATCTGTTCCCCTTGCATGGCCTGTCATCACCTTCAGTAGGTGATACCCGTGTAGCATAGTCTTTCTGTGGAGAAATTGCAAGTGAGGTAGGAAAAAAAGAATAGGAAAGGAAAAGTAAGCAAATCCACGCCAGCTCCCTAAATGAAAAATCTTCGACAAGATCATACTATCATAGTGGCCTTTCAGTAGTAAAATATTCTAAAGGTAACCCAGAGGGTCAGTCTCTTTCGAAGGATACCTTGTCTGACAGTTTTGAGGCTCCCACGCTAGACGGAGAAGAAAGCTGCTGTACACCTACCTCTACTAAAGGGATGCGGGAGAAACAGAAACTAAAAAACCTGCAGTCACAAAGCCCTTCCTTTTCCTTTAACTCACTAATCACTCTTACTTTTCACTACTACTAGGAACCTAGTGAACACCTAGTCATTAGTGAAGACTAATGACTAATTAATAAGAAAAATTAATTAAAAAGAAATAATTAATAATCCTAACTAATAACTCATTTACTAATTACTCTTCCCCTTGCTTTTCAAACATGCAATGTTAATCCTGTTGAAAGGGAGTGTACTGGGTCTGGCTGAGATGGAGTTCATTTTCCCATTGCAGCCCTCACAGTGCTGTCCTTTGCTTTGGTACCTAGAAAGGTGTTGACAACACACCAGTGTTATGGGAACTGCTGAGCAGAGCTGGCACAGCATCAGCACTGTCCCCAACATTCCCCCCATCAGTAGGTTGGGGATAGGCAAGATCCTGGGAGGGGACGCAATCAGGCCAGCTGACCCAAACTAACCAAAGGGATATTCCATACCATATGACATCAGCTCAGATATAAAAGCTAAGGAAAGGAGAAGGAAATGGGAGGCATTCGTCATTTACAATGTTTGCCTTCCCACTACGCGTGCGTCCTGGGAAGTGGCCAGAGATCACTTGTTGATGGGAAGTAGAGAATAAAATTACTGTTTTTTTCTCTTTACTTGTGCATGCACAAACTTACACTTCTGCTTTAGTAAAATGCCTTATCTCAACCTGAGAGTCATTTTCCAACTTATTTTCTCTCCTCTGTCCAACTGAGAAGGGGGAGTGATAGAGAGGCTTGGCGGGCACTGGGCATCCAGCCAAGGTCAACCCATTACAGGGAGGTAAAACTTTATGCAAAAGGCCCGTAAAACACAGTCTCAGGATGCAATCAACAATCCAGTTCTAAGAGTGGATCAGTCCAGCAGCGGCAAGACAAAAATAAAACCAGTCAATGCAACATCTGATCAAATAATTCTGAATAAAATTCAGTTCAGACTCTGTTAGTTCATATTTTATTAATGTTCAACAGACTGGTTGTAATCTCTTCACAAAGGGATGAAGACACATCTGAAATGATCACCAAATGCTGTGAGAAAAATCTAAGCCTAAAGAAACTACTTCAGAAATATATCATTAAAATTCAGTTAGTACGTTATTTACTATATATATGAGCATACACATTAGTATAGCAAACGTAAAAAAACTTTTGTAACTCAAAGTCAGAGATTTGTACTTACTTGTGCGTTTTCATAAAACAAAACATCAGGCACTTTCATTTTCTCAGCTGAGTTATAAATTGGCATTGTCACAGACCCTATCTTCAGAATCCCATTGTTTATTTCACCTGGACATTTTTCAGGAAAAAAGAAAATGCGTTACTTACAACATCCTCTAAGGAGACATGTAATCAACACCCAATATTCACGAGTAATGATTTACAAATTTCAACAAGGCTGTGTTAAAATTTCTTATTTCTGCCTGAAGAAAGAGAACACTTGGAAGAGTATCTGTTAACAAGAGGTTGCATTATCATGAATTTGAATTCTCTTTCAAACTGCAAAGAAGTGTATTACAATAAGTGATGAAAAAATGATCTTAGGGGAAAAGTATCATAAGAAATACCAGCAGTTGTGACTGCTGCCTTGGTTTAATTTCACACTCTCACTGTGTTATTGGAATATCACCAGTACTGTTAGGCTACATTTCTGCAACCCACAAGTTTTCTCACTCTCATTCTTCCTTCTCTCTCCTCCTGTCCCACTGTGGAGTGAGGTGTGAAGGTGAGCGAACAAGTGGCTGTGTGGGTGGTGGAGCCAACCTGCCACAACAGTATAGAGTCTCTGTTAATTCTCTCTTTCAGCACTGCATTTCTGCTCAAATGGGTTAATGCCAGAATATGTCACGTTTATCATTTTGGTGAAAACTGGCTAAATTTGTGCTAGTTGAAATAACCTTCAACTACAGCTCTGAGAGAAAAAGTACACTAGAAAAATTTCTTAGATCAAAAGAATCATAAATTCTGTCCTTAGGAAACTAACAACTAGGTGTAAATAATAATCTATACATTAAAAACAGTAGTAATTTTTTTTATACTAATTTCCTAATCTGGTATGGTGTAAAACTGAAAATAGCCTAATTTCTAGACAGATGTTTTTAGTTGCTCACCTTTATGGCATGAAATAGGGAAACACAGAAAATTCAAGGTAGCATCACACAACTGGCAACAGTTCAAATAATATATATAACAATACATAGATGGCTGCATATATATGCATATACATGTACATATGGTTGTACATATATATTATACTGTACATAACAGAAACTTTAATTTATACATTACAATATCTCTGCATTTACATATGTACTTTTATATAACACACACACAAATAAGCCTATAAAACTAGAATCCACATGAATTAAAACCAAATATGTGTTTACCATTGCAAAGACGTAACAGTAAAAACACAGAAGTCAAATACATCACAGAAGAATGAGAGTAGAGGTAATGCTGGTGAAGCAGAGTAAAGGAAACATTTAGTGAATGGAAAATGGCAAATTACAGTGTGCTGCCTGACAAAAGATATCAAAAGATGGAAGGGGGTCATACAACAATGAGAAAGGAGAAATGAGAAAAATGGCAGAGGCAGAAATACATGCATAGCCCTGAAGGTTACTACAAATGAATACAAGTTGGATGAGCTAAAGAAACAAAGATCTGCTCAATAAAGGTGATATGTAAAAACCACAACAATTTAAAGAGAATAAAAAGAAGAGAAACTAACAAAGAAGCGCGTGCCAGAATGAAAGCAAATCATAACACAAAATTACAAGAGTCTCAATGAGAAAAAGGTAGATTTTAACATGGGAGAGAAAGAAGCAATGATAAAAAAAACAGAACAGAGAAATATTAAGATCAAACCAAGGCTGTAACTGTACAGAAGACTAGCTATCAGTGATAAAAAGAAAAGAAAAAGCAGTATTAGAAAGCCTGAGACAATGGATCTTCTAGACTGAGGAACACAAATATGATGGAGAACAAAATTCCATGAGCTGGGAATATAGCAGACAATACAAAAGTATCAACATATTGAGAGCAGAAATGCATTCCATAGAACAAAGTCACCTTTATATGTTCAACAATCTAAGTAACATTCACGAAAAGCAGGAAAGAAGACAGCACAAGCTTACATGTGTAATCCTTTTCCTCCAGTTTCTTTGTGTTATCTGGACTCATTTCAATACCAGAATCCTGAAGATTTTTATGTAAAGCTGATCTAGCGAGATTTGGCAGAAACCTAAAACAAGAGAAATAATGGGGATGTTGTATTTTAAGTATTTTTCTTTTAAAAGTTTCCAGCATTTTCTGTAATCTAAAGATTAAATCTGACAATTTACCTGCAACTCCAAACCCCAAATATCTATTCCTTTCACACCAAAATAATCTTGCACATTTCACATATCCCTAAGGAGAGGAATTGAGCTTCATTCATAGGCAATGAACCATATTTGTGGCTGTGCGCTTATTTTGAAAGGTTTCAGTGTTATTTATTTCAATATTTGTAATGTAGGATGGATTAGGACTGGAGGCACGTAATGTCCTCATTCTGCTGCCAGTAAGAGCTACAGCAGAACTAATGTTTTTTCAGAAATACTTTTTCTCTTGATCCAGTTGACTTGGAACTCAGGTTCCAAAGAGAAAGAGTGAGCTCTGAGGTGTTCAGAACCAGGCCCTTTCAGTTTTCCAGACCTTTTGACAATAATAATTTGTTTTCTTTTGACAACGGGGGAAAAAAAAAAACACCAAAAAATCCACCAAAATGCAAGCAAACCAAAGGCCGCAAAAGAAAAACCAAAACCAACAAAACTCTAGATGTTCCTAGCTTTCCTAGATACAGCTTTCAGAACTGAAACCAACTCTCCACAAAACATCCGTTATCCTAGACATTAATATGGCTCTGCTTTGAGTGTTTTGAAACAGTGAAGTAATGTGATAATGGTAATCTATTTATATAATGTAATGAAGTATCTTCATAAAGATGAGAAAGAGTACAAAGTCCTTTCTACTTACCTTCTAGGTTTGAGAATATCACAGAAATATTTTTAAAGAAATTACAGACTTCAAGGAACAAGACGGCAATTGTATTATCCATTTAAATGCGTTAAAAGCTATCTTGAATGTTAGCAACTGACCAAAAAGCTCTTGAACTTCCACCTAGACTAGCAGGCCTACCTGGAAAGGCAGGCTTTATTAACAGCATCATAAAGGCTTTCATCTGGATGTTGTGACAGTCGACGACAAATTCGCAATAGTTGTCGAGTAGATAAAAATGAAGCCAGTGACTGTGCCTGTCAAAAAATACAAGATAGTTTAATTACTTGATCTGTGTGAAGGATTTAAATCAAACAAGTCAGGAGAAAAACATAAACCAAAAGGAATTATTTCAATTTTTCTCCTAGTTCATAGATTCTTTGTGCCTTCTACAGCAACTTCTGCTTTTTAATGGGCAAGCTTGTAATTCTGTATTTTTTGCAATAAGTCACTGTCACGGAAATCATTATGTCATCAAAAGATTAGCCTTATGATTTCACTTGGTAAGCAACAGGAAGAAAAATGTGCTGTGAACTGAATTTTATGTGCAATATAAAACCTAACACTAAACAATATTAACAATAACAAGGAGGTTAGGATCAATATGCTAAAAACTCGTCTGCTTTTCACAAACTGAACATGAGCTCCATATGTAATGCTCTGGAAAAAGGGTCTGGCAGATTCTTGGACATATAAACAAGACAACACTGGGCAGCAGTAAGGAGATTGTATCACCTCTGCACACGCCTTCTGGGCGGGTCATTACTGGAACACTGTGTCCTTTTCTGTTGTCCACATGTTAAAATAAATGCTAAAAACTGGACCTGATTCAGCAAAGATTTACAGAAATTATTCAAAGCTTGAGAAGACAGATCTCAAACACACAGAGTAAAATTTAAAAAACAAACAAACAGAACCTCAAAACAAGTGACGATGTATTTAAAGAAAGAGATAAAGACTGAGAAAGAAATCATTCTATAATTATATCTGCCGGATGAAGGTATCTAATACAAACAGGTTCCTTATTTTAGCAGGAAACACACAACAATGAGCATGATCTGATAAGTCACGCCATGCTTTGCCTGGGTCAAGTGAAATATTTTAATTAGATAATTTCAAAATGTTTCATTTGGGTTCATATACATGATTTCTAACTGCATCAAAATTGCCTTAATATATACTGCGGTTTCAATTGAAAAAAAAAGTCTTGATATTTGACATCCAGAGGAAAAAAATAGAGAAAAGCAACATTTCAAGAAGTTCAGAGCCTTTTTAACTCCCCTTATTAATTTTTGAGCATGAGAAATGCCTTAACGCAATTCTTTCCCCTGAAAAACTACCATATTGACAAAAAGGCATTTATATAAAAAAAAAAATCAGTTCTATGAAATTCTACAAAACTTCTCTCAAATTATGAGAAAGCAAAGAACAATACCTTTTAAGCATAGGTCTGAGCAATGAGCAAGAATTCTTTAGACTGAGCTAACTGCAAAGATTACTACTCCTCCTCCTGCTTTCACTGATAGAAAATTGTGAAGCATCTCCTGAACAATCATAGTTCACCACCCAGCACTGTGGAGACTGTGATATAAATGACGGCATTTCATGTGTTATTTCAAGATCTGCTCAGCCAAGCATGAAGTAAGGGCAAGGGAGAGGAGCAAGTGCTGTATCCTTGCTATCCCTACTTACTAGCCAGAACTCTCACTGCCTTTGGAGATCATACTCTCTTCACAAAAGTATCTTAAACAACTGAAAGGTTCCTAAGCAGAGCAAGTTTTGGCAGATAGGCAATAAATCACAACCTATGAGACTGCACTGATGGTGAAAAGCAGCTGGGCATATGAAATGAGGTAGTGTATTTCATATGTCATGCCACCTTGATTAAGTCCAATCTGTAGGGACGTGGGCATATAAATTCTAAATAATATATAGGTTCAGATCCTGCACTGAAATAAATAAGCACGGAGGAACAGGGCGGACCACTGAGGAAAAGCTGCATCATGTCTTTTGGATACTTGCAACTGGTAGTTAAAATTTTGGTAAGAAAATTTCCTCCTTTCTTATATGGTTTGGTATTTTTTAAATTGAACAACCATAAACTCAAAATTGGGTTAGTGACACTCTTTTTAATATATACCTATGAGACATCTAATTCAACAGGATCTTGATTGTGGTCTCCAGATTCTCTTGTAAATCAAGCAAACAATTACAACGACGCAGACAACACCTACAGAGTGAACAGTCTACAGGTACTCTATTTTTAAAAAAATCGCTCTAAACAACGGTTAATATTTCAGGATTATCTCTGGCAGAGATTTATTTATTTAGACAACTCTATAAATAGCCTAACATACATAAGGCACACATTTCAGCTCTCTGCACAGGTGTGCTATTCTCGACATGTCTTACGTCACTGCTGATCACAAGAATCCTCCCTCGAACCATACTGTGACTCACTTCTTAGCCAACATCATATAATTCATTTAGGTAATTCACAATTCTACAGATAACCACAAGTCTATATTTGGAAAGGATTTTTGTAATGCTCTGTTTAGGCATGGTATGTGTCCAAGTATGCCAAAAACAATACATTTATACATTTGATATAGGAAGCTAAATAGATAATAATAACAACTCTGTCCCAACAGTGTAATTAAACGTCTACCTTTTCACTTACTTTTTTTAAGCTCAAAAGAGCATAACAGCCTCTTTCAGCTTCTTAAATAGTAAGACTGTAAAAACTATTAACGAAGTTAAAATCATAAAAACTAAAGACAATGAATTTCCATACCAGTTAAACTCCTGGACTCCAGTAAAAATGTTTTACATTTTAGTTACATCAAAAACATGCAGTGTTTTAGTTGCCATAGCAATAATTTCTTTTTCTTTTCACTATGACTTAGCTGTATCTTTTTAAGGAATTTTGTGGTCACTTTGTCAGCAGAACTTATTTTTCTTGACATGTCGTCTTTAATAAATAGCCTATAGCAGTAACACAGCCAGGAGTTCTGGAGCTTTCCCTTTCCTGAATCTCTACTGCTGCCCACCGGCATTTATAATGTCCAGGTAGCTCCTATTGCCCAAAAAGCCTCAACAATGTCATCTATCAAATTTCCAATTACTAAAGTGAAGTAATCAAAATGTATTTGAATGCACGTACCTATTCAAAAGGCATCTCACCATGTTTCACTGTGAGTCACATATCTAAACTCCCTGACAACATGTGTACTGTTCTTCTTGATTCCCTGGAATTCAAGCAAATTCCTAAAAGATTTACTTATGCAGACTCCAAATATGTACATCATAAATCAAAAAAGTTTAGATTATGCAGTACAGTAATTGCCAGTAATAATTTTCTGGGGCTGGTTTTCCACTCAGCTGACCCTTGAAATAACACTATAGTTTAGCATGTTATACCCAGCCTTTGCTAAAACAATCATAGCAGGAGATAGTAAATTTAAGGAGAAAAAAAAAAAGAAAAAGGGCTCACTGTGGCATCATTTGTCTCTCGAAGTTTGTGCGTTAATGACAACAACTGCTCCACAGCAACACTAGGCACATTTGGAATCTGAAAGAAAAACGGCATTAATCATACTGCAAGATATGCAAGTTCCACATACAGCTATACTCAGATGCAATGAGCACACAGTTGTCACAGTTGCTTTGTGATGAAGACTACTTTCTTATTACAGTATCATTTAATATCACAATAAGAATAATACCATTAAAAGAAAAGCAGATACGCTGCTTTGATAAGATGTGAAAAGTAACTCATTTATGCTACAGTGAAATAGCAAGATATTTCTTTATGTAGCAAATAAACCTGTTCAGTAGGTGGTAGTCAGTAAGTGCCTAAAATACTGAATATACTTACCATTTTTTTAATAACTTCAATTTCTTCACTCTTGCTTAAAGATCGAACATTATGAAAAAGAAAGAGTGTCAAAAACTCTGGACCCAGCCATTGTTGGGTACTACTTCCAATGACAGGAGGTTCTGCTAAGACCACTATTCTGAAAGAAGGATGGATAGGAAAGGTAGACCTACAAAAAAAAAAAAAAAGAGTTTAAAAATGCATTACCTGGCTTAAGCAGTGAATATCAAATTTAAATTTTACAACAGATGAAAAAGAGATAAATTATTGTACTGAATCATATAACAGTATATTCAGACCATTTGCAATGCAACTTTGTTAAAAAAAAAAGGCTGCAAAATGGGACTTGCAATTTAAAAAAATTACGCACCCAACTAAGCTACAGTCTACTGTGTTGTATATCTGAAATGGACACATCTCACTCATCTGATGGACTTTTTCAAGTGCTTTACCTAAAGCAGAATGTCTCACAGGGAGAAAACAAGACCTACCAGAGCTGCAGTAATGAGTAACTTCTTGTACTCAATTAGACTGACAGAAAGGATGACACTGTAGAGACCGGCCTAGATACCATGAAAAGACAAATTTAGTAAGAGTCTAGGAGTATTCCCCTTACAGATATTCTTTGTGGCCCTTGGAAGATCATCTAGACTCTTAGTATGAGATTAATATGCCTAACTTTATAATACTCCTGAAAGTTATGCTTCAAAGACCAAACCAATCACCTCACCCCTGGCTCATTTTAGAGTCAGCATGAGGAGACAGGTCTCTCAAAAGACAGATTATGACTTACAAGAATTTAAGAATTGCTGTCCTGCATCCTTAAATCTACCCATCCAACTACATGTACCATTCCTCATTACGACAGCTGGAGATACTCCTTGGGGAAAGCACAGATGTCTAGCCACTACCAGTAGTCTATCCTCCTCATACTCGCCTAGGACCTACAACCATATCTTCAAGGATATCAGAGGGTAGATATCTATTTGCTTTAATGTCCATTTACCCACAAATTTGTCTAACACCCTTCTGAACTTCTTCATCCTATCTGCCTCCACAACTGCCTGTGACAACATATGACAACATTATTACTATTGTTTTTTAAATCTTTATGGAACTGACCCGCTAGCTTCAGCCAGTGTTCCTCAGTTCTCACTGCATGATTAGATGACTAATAGTCACCTAATGAAGATAACGGGAGCTTACAACGCAAACTTAAATATACAACTTTTAGATGTGTTAGGGCACTAAAAGACCACTGCCTTTGATTTTGGTATCTTTGTCTTCTTCACACCTTTTTTATTCTTTATTTATGTAATATTTTCACCTCCTCTGACTGGACATTCATGGGTACTCATCAATCGGCACAAGTGCATGATCTCTAGAAGCAGAAGAAATAATAGAATAACAAGTCAGATACAAAAGCCAGTCAAATTGTGTGAGGAGGGCCTGTTTTCAACAACTAATTTTACAGTACTTTTAGATGCTCATTTGGAAAAAGCAAGAGACATTTAATTAGGCAACATATTGCTGTTACCATGTCATTTTCTTTATAAATTACTGAAGACATAGATCAACAAATCTACTGCTGTTCGTCACAACAATAAACCTGTGATACAAGAGGGCAGTCACAGCAGTCTCTTGTATCAAAGCAAACTAAGGCAGTAGCATGAGTTATTCTCAGCTGAAAGTCATAAGCCTAGAAGCTACTCCCTGATTGATAAAAATAGAAATAGATGTCTGAAAACATCACATGAAAGAGGAACCAATGGGAATGTCACTGTCACTAAGCATAAAAAAAGGTCAGGGAACAGTAGCCAACCTTATTATAGAAGAAAACATTTCCTAGATAGGATAAATACATATACTTACAGACTTGCCTTTCTCTACATTACTAGGAAGAAAAACAACCCTTCTCCAGAAATCCATCAAATTCTAGCCCTTCTGCAGTACCATAAGAGAACACAAGAAGTAGTCAACTTTCCTGGTAAAGGAATCACATTTCTTTTGTATCACCTCCTTGTCACTGTCTAACTCAAGGGGCACCATGGGGACAGCCAAGAAAAGCATAGAAAGAAGTGGGAGGAGAGTAGATGCAAAGTCAGAGCAAGCTAATTTGGTGATATCAGTTAAGTTCACTGACTAATCTCTATACTTGGACATATCACAACATCACTGTTGTAGGCATCCAGTTTGTAAACATGAATAAAACTATTTGGCTACTTCAAAAGCCTATTGTTTGGACTGACGTTTGCAATGTTGAAAATGTCAAGCTAAGTGTATTATTAAAACAAATGCCACAAATTACTCAATCCTGCAGTTCTCTGAAAGTTTCCATCAGCACAACTGAAGAGCTTCAAAGTTATTCCATCACATTATAGATCAAGACTCTAAAGGAATATAATATGGAGAGCTCCTATGTGGAGCTGTACTTTATAGAAAAGAAATCTTTGACATGACAGGAAATCTTGTGTTTTTTGCAAATGAAGGCCAAGTAAGTGTATCTTGTTAAAAACCTGGCATCTTTCAATTAATGAGCCTCAAACACAGTGGGAAGATTTGGTGTTAATTGATTCAGGCAAAGAGTCTCTATCCTTCTCTCTATCAAATATTTATTGACAACACAGGCAGCAGAGCACTCTCCTAATAAAATGAGTGTCCTTCTTTTGACATTACTGTTTAATTCCAACCAAGGATTACCACCACTGCTCTTGAGAGGCAGATCAGAACACAGTGTGGGCAATTTTAGGGGAAGATTTTCTTGTTATTGACACATGGTTTCGAGCAATTGAAGTTTCTCAGAAAAAAAAAGAAATACAATGCAGAATGGCATTTCTAATGCCACTATGCAAAACCAAACTATTTTTGTTTGTCTCTTCCTGTAAAATGATTTAATAAATCGCATTTTCTATCAATTTTTATGAGTTGGGAATTGTTATAATACTAGGACCAAAATTACCTATTGTTACTTTCTTGCTGTATTTCTTAAATTTCACCGCAGTCTAAAATTAACAAATAACTTTATCTTAAAATTCACTAAACTGGGAAAAAACCAAACCCCTCAACAACAAATGAAGTAAAAGCTAAAAAATGTAAGCAATTAAAAATTCTATTGCTTGATAAAGTCACTCCCTGCCACACTTCATATTTGCCTCATCTACTGTGTGTTCCCTTTCAACCTAATTGCATGGAAAATAATTCACTGTCTGCAAGGCATTAAAACCATCATGAATTATGAGTGACTTCTTTTAGCTTTTCAACTATCCTATTACATATCTTCTTCTGAATTTTCCTATAATAGCTGCCTTTCTGCTCACCACAACAAGGACTTCACATCTGCGTGTGTGTGTGTGCGCATGTTCTGGGGGGTATATCCACACAAACAGGTTAAAATACTTCATCATGAGATAAACACTTCACTGCTTGTCTTGCAAAGGCTGTGTGCTATCTTTACAGTATCTGTCTTGGTGACGTAATGGATGATTATAGAAGAAATTCTATTGCAGAAATCTTGGATATGCACAGTACCTGAACACACTTTCTCTTAATCTCTGAACCTGGTTGGGGAAATGAATAAGGTATCAGCATCTATAATTTCCTTCTATGTAAAATATCTTGAAGGACCATCTGTCACTTTCTCAAGGGTTGCTTTTTTTTCTTCTCCTTAAACTCATAAACAAGAATTCTTAGTCTCCTCAAATGAATGAATGTTATCTTTCCATGTTTGCTAACTTCACAGCCAAACTAGCATAACAAAAAAATAGAGGAAAAATGACAGTGTGGCCAGTATTAGTTACCTTGTAGCTTACAGGCTTTCAGCAGGCCAAGGAGTATCCCAAAATCAAGGGCAAGGGCAACATATTGCTTGCACTTGTCAGTCCTGAGAGAGCTATTGCACTCACCAATCTCAAGCTCTTCTTAGAAAAATGGTAATTTTTATACAGATGTAGAAATGTAATGAAATAATAGTGAACATATAACTCGATGATGTTTTTAGACCAGAGTGAAATACCACCCCTTTAGTAAAAAAAAATAAAAAAAAATCAAGAAACTCTTGACCCTCTTCTCCTTTCTCTTCTACTACACAGATGAGTATTCTGACTATTGAAGCACTAAAAATTAAAGGCACTAAAACCGTGGGAAAATATTATTTTTTTAATATCAAGCATTTTTATACAGGAACACTAAAGCCTAGTCCAAAATGTGTCTTGCTCATCTGAAGAAGGAGTCTCCTAAAACATCTCCATTAGTATCAAAATTTTTTATCTTCTTAAAAATGGGGAAAAGCTTTAGGTGTGTCAAATCCTTTTACAAACAGAGACTAAAAAAAGTGTTTACAAAACTTTTGATCATTGGTTAGGAATGGTACACCTTCTCTCTAAAACAGATTTAGATGGAAATTCTGTTTTAAAATTCCATTCACAAAGTAGTCTACTATAAAGCATTATCCATTTTTCTTTTCCACTATGAGAGACATATTTGTATTTAGGTACCCTACAACAGCATCTGGCCATGTCACTAGTGAGTCTTAAATTAAGGGAACAGAGAGTAACAACGAGTTATTTTGCATTTATGAACAATCAGAAGTAGCACAGAAGAAAGACACTGGAAACTATATTACAAATAGTCACTACAATCAAGAACACTCAGGCACAGCAGAGCTGAGCTGAATGCACTTCCAGTGAATCATTGATGTGCCTTTCAGTATGTTTCTTCCTCTTCCTCTGTTTCTCCTTAAGAACTACATTAGCACATAATATCAGGTAGATAATATGTATCCTTTGTACCATATTGATTCCCAATATGCAAATGACAATCGAGGCTGAATGAGTGGGACTTGTAAAAAAAAAAAAGTCAGAATAATCCTCTGATTCAAACAAAACTCGAAACCACTTTACACAGGAACTCCCTAATTGGAAAATTACCAGTAGACTTAATATGTCACTCAAATATCGCAAATTCAGTCCAAACTGGGAATGACATCATAAATTCCACTGACCTGGCAACGAGCAATTGCACTGAAATTACTTTAGTCAAATCTAGTAAATCAGGGTAAGTAAAGCTGTCTTTTCATCTTACTCTAACATCAGAAATACAGCTAACACCACTAGCCACAGTCAGTGACATGCAGCAAGAGAGATGTTTCTCATCAATATAGAAAGCATCTCCCAGTTGCAATCTGGTAAGAATTTGCCCAGCCAATCTGCTAATAAATTCATGGTACAACACACTCTGTGTCACTTCTCCACAAGGCAATACGTTGCAGGCAAAGAAGGGATGGTTAGCACCACCATGAATAAAGTCTGTGATTAAATCAGCTGTCAGTACCTCAGATAGCATTTGATGAGAAGGTGCCTGGAGAGAAGAGTTAATTCTGCAGCATTCTGCAACACTGGGATGTACTGAAGCTTGCAGGGACAGGTAACTACTGCTGAAAAGGATGAGTAGCAAGGAAGAATACAGTTCTGGAATCAAAGATGTCACCTACTGACTCACATCCTGGAGCCAGTGAAAGGTAGTGATGTTTACAGAATATGGAAGGCACCAAAACCAGGATGAAGTCCTAGAACACTTTCAGTTTGTCAAGGGCTCACGAGAACAGAGCCCCTCTGTAGAGAGGAGTTGTCCAGTGATGTCAAAGAAGCCCATAGCCAAAACCAAGGAAGTAGTTACATGTTTGTATTACTTTAACCTGGTTTCTTTTGAGTAAGTCAGTAGAGAAAACAAGAGGAGATTGAATGTTTCACCTAGGAGAAGGATAGGATTCTCAGTAAAATGGACTTCAGATAATTCAGGATGAAGAATTCTCATCTATAGCCAAGATGGAGCTAAATGGTCACACCAAGCTTCCAGATGCAAGCACGCCTAAACAGTGGGGTATCTGTCTGTTTTTAAGACCAAGTACTAATCAGAAATTCATTCCTGCCTAATACAGCAGACACCTCTCACTTATGGATTAGAGCGAGAGCTCACTGTCAGTCAAATAGATAACTAAGAGTTTAGCAACTCACAAAACACTATGTTGCAAAATATTAAAGTGGTTAAGTAAAAGCAGTACATTGCAATCTGAAGGAGTGAGAGACAGCCTTTCAAGGAAAGCCCTCACCCCCCCCAAAAAAAGACTTAGGGAGCCTCCAAAATAGCCAAAACCAATGCACAAATGCACAATTATCACTGAACAGAACAGTGGAACCATTAGGTTACTCAATGAGACTGAAAGAAAGGAAAGTAGATTCAGAGGTGACACAGTAAGAATGGTCTGCAGAACAATGATTGAAGAAGATAGCCTGGACAGTTCTCATGATTTAACAGCTAATGAAGGTTAAAGGGAGTCCATTGCCAAAACAGCCACAGTTATAGCGGAGACGCAGAATCCAGATGTAAAGCTCTGTTCTTGTGAAAGACATTTGATCCAGTAAGAGGGGCAGTACTGAAGATGAATGTGTGATTCATTGTCTAGGTTTTTGGAATATATTGGCAATGAAATAAAGGGTCCTAGGCAGTAAGCAAAACAGCACAGCTACTGCCATTCTGCCTGAAAGCACCTTGGACAAGACCATGAACATGAAGCAGGGAGGAGCCTTACACAATAGATATATTTGGAAGTACAGAGTCCACTGCAAAGTTGGGATACCAACCTAGATGGGCCCTTGGAGCTTTTTTACCGCTCTTTCAAAGTCTATGCTTAAAGTCCCAATAAACAGAACACTTCCCTGATGTACAGTTCTTCACTCAAATAAAACAAATGCAGGAAACGACCATCTAGCTAAGTGTATTGTCTCAGCAGAGTGGATAGAATTTGCAACAAGTAGGCTTAGATTACACCATACCTACAAAAAAGTAGAAGGCTTAAAATGAAGTTTGGTTTTTGGTTGGTTTTGTAGTGCATTTTTTGGTCCTTTTTTTTTTTTAAACCCCACAGTATTTTGATCAAAAAGGGAACCAGAAATAAAAAAAACAACTAGTAAAAGAAAAGGGTGGACTATAAAGGAGGTCAAAGAAAAAAATCAGATTTAGTGAGAAAATTGAGAGAAACTGAGTAGTACATCATGAACTATAACCAATGAGGCCTCTTCATAGTGGGCACACACACAGCATGCAGCATTAATATGAGCATGGACATCTGACATAAAACTTCAACTGTTTTTTCAGATGGTAGATCCATTTCAGAATCACAATATGTTTAGCTCCTTATATATTACTGAATATTAGATTGCATTTGTTTTGACACACTCTCAACATAAACTAGAATTGGTCAGCAGTGTTTGACTATGTATCAAATATGGCCTCAGAGGACTAGAAAACATTTCTATCTGTGGAATGTTTCTGGTAGACAAGTGGAAATGAAGGAACAAAAAGAATAAGCATAATGGGTCCCAACCCATCCTTAGGATTTCCTGCCCCATACTAGTTGTAAATTAAATACCAGCTTTCTAGATAATGAGGCAAAAGAATGTAACAAGTAGTATTTCATTTCAACTTAGCTTTATTTTCCAAGGCTTTTAATAAAATGTTCCAAAAACTAAATATCATATAGCTTTATATCTATTTTTGGATGTACTTAAAATTTCTCTTCAATTTCTAACTGCTTCTCTTAAAGGATATTGAATGTTTTTCTTCTAGTTCAAGCACTCTAAACAGGATATAATTTTCCCATGTCACAAAAAGAAATAGAGCTCACAAGGAATCTGATGTTTAAAAGATGTTTCTCCTAGTGATTAGAAGGTATCTATTCAGTAGAAAAGCATTTTGCAGTTTTTTATTAAAAAAATGAAAAAAATGAAATGCTGTTTGCTTCCATAGTTGTAGTTGATACTTTACCTTTCGCGCAGTTTTTCATCAGAGAGCTGTAATTCTTCTTTTAAGTTTTGATATCTATCTTTCCTTAACAATCTGGTGCCGTCATACAGAGTCAGTTCTCTGTCATGTACTAGTCTGAAAATAAAGAATAAGCTCTAGCTAGCCACTGATTAATTTTTAAAATATCTATAACTCCACGTGTTTTTTTAAAAGCTATCTCAGTCAATATGGGCCACAGAAAAAGAAAAAGTTATAACAAATTCAGATGCATCCACACATGGAGGTAAAATAACATGTCTAAGTTTTAGCACATAGTCAGTTAACTTAGTTTAAACAGATATGGTAAGAATGCAAAAAATAAAACCCATCCTTCTTACCAGTGTAGTGTGCATAAATGGCATGAAACATCTGCTTTGTTATGCTTGTACCAAGTAATATACTTTTCTTTTGTTTCTTGAAGAGATATCTTTCAGTTGGATTTAATGATTAACATACATACAGACCTAGCTTTTATTTTTTCGTAGGCAGAAGTTGATTAGCTATAACGCATGCACATGTCAGAAGAAAAAATCATAATGGAAAAGCTAAACTGATGACAAAGCAAAAACACAGGCAAGTAGAATTCTCTCTTCTGCCCTTCTGCATATATATATAATAACAGAAAGCACAAAATGTTTTTGCTACAACCTGTTTTAAAGCTCAAGATGTCCTTTACGTTTACAAAAGGCAGTATATGATGCAGGCATATGAAACAGCAGAAAAAATTAACCTGACATTATAGATTATTATTAAAATAGTATTTGCTCTTACTGTTTCTGTTCTGCAAAGTTTAACTAATTTTTTATTGAATTATGGAATAATGTTTAGAAATAGTTCTTTGCAATCAATATAAAGTATACTTTTACATATAATTGTAATGATCACATATTATTTAGAAGTAGAATGCACTCAAAGTATTAAAATTTTTTTGACATCTTGCATGTTCAGATCACTGTGCAAATATTACTAATTTTTAGATTTCATAATTTTAGAGTAAAATCTATCTCATTCAAAAATTCAGACTTACATTCCATAGTTAAAACAGACTTAAATTTCCTGTATTACTGTAGACTTATAAAAAATGAAATAATTGCTTCTGCTTTTAATTATGTAAAAAAATGAGCTTTACATATTCTACGAAACTTTAACACTCAGCTTGATCTTTACAGTATTCTTGAAGTTATAAAGCCATAATCACCAGAAGAACTTCTCAGTATGTATGCACTCAACAAACATATCACATGCACCCAACTTAGCTGTGCTCACATCCTGACCTTTGAAGTACAGCTAGAGTGCCAGGGTTAATTCGATGAATGCCATCAAGAATAACAAGCTTCCCTTCCAGAGCTGCAGTAACAAGTGGCGAGGGTCTCCAAGCAGTGTCTCCATTAGGAAGAGTATACCTTTGCTGTAGCAAGTCTCTAGCCGTCATATCCTGTAAGCATCAATTCATCAGAAGAATATATTTATGCTCATGCTCTATTTTTTTAATTTACAGGTACATGCTTTCTCCTTAAAAAACTGCTTTTTGTTCTTCCTTAAGGATATACCCATGGAAGATTAGCAGGAAATCTTCAATTACTTTTCCAAATAGGATTAGAAATACACACACAAATCTACACACAAAATGTTAAACAGTCTTTGGAATTTCTAGTTCTTGCCAATGTCACCTCTTTGAAACAAGAACAAAAGCCTTACTCCCCCAGCCTGCCCCTTTAACACAATACCAGCATATGACAACTTGTACACAGCTCTGTGTACAGAAGGGGGCAGTACTTTACACCTGGAACAAACAAGAATAATTTCGAGCAAAGATTTCATCATTAATCTTGAACACAGCACGATATTCCACCTCTCAGCAGGCAAATGCAGTGGAAGCATGACAGAAAAATAGACAAGGGTAAGAAAGAAGACATTAACACACATAATATCAAAAGTACATAGCATATCACAAAATAATGCTTAAGGGATAGAACAAAATCAAAGGTAAAATCTATTATATCCTCTAGCAAACATATTTTATATGTTCCATTAGAACAGGTAAGCACTAGAGTAACAAAGACATAATAGTAATTTTGTGACCTGGAAGATTAAATTCCTTCCTTGAGCTGTGCTGTGAACACAATTTAACCTAAAATCAGATGAGAATATATTTTTTATGTAGTTGTAGCTTTTGCATATGTACTTTTCACAACTACAAACCCTTTGAACTTTAAAGAATAAAAATAGAATATATTACGTCATATGCTGCCCTGAATCATTTCCTCTTTCTATATTTCCTTAAAAGCCCTAAAATAACAGGACAAAGTCTCGTTCCTTCGGTGCTTCCACATTTGTATAATTTAAAGTCTCACATTCAAATCCTCAAAACCACACCATATATTTATTGTTGCATTTCTGTCGTTTTACTGCTGTGTTTGCTCTTTTCTATTAATTAGACTAAAACTATAATATGAAACATTTTTATCAATCCTGTGTTTTCAGGACTTGCATAAGAACTGCATTCTGCAGCTAGTAAATGCTGTAACTGAATAATTAACTAACACACGTTTTATAATTCAGAGAACTATTTCATCTCTAGAGAAATGAAACAGCATAGAATATGAATTGACTGAGAGCCTAGTATGCTATATAGCATGTCCATCTCTAATTCCAACAACACTTGAGAACCATGCATTAATTTTCTGGAGATAAACTCAGAAGTGTATTTTGCTGCAAGATATTTTCTGAAATATAAAATGAATATTTATATTGTGATTTAAATGGTTGAATATTATTCAATTTAGGGACATATTAAAAGAAATATCGTTGCTAACACCTGCAGTTTTTGTAAAGGACTTATTTTATGGCTAAGTACTTGCCAGGTGACTTATTGTTTTTATTTATTCACTCTTACCCAATTTTTAATAAATTTTATTCAAATAATTTCATCCGTGATATTAAAAATAGTCTTATAATACTCTAATACTGAAAAATGCCTCCCTTTGGAGGGGAGAATAAGAATTAATTTTGCCTCTTATTTTGGACAAAGCAATGGCAACAATATATTGCCATATAAACAAAAAGCTTATTTTAATTTGTAACAGTCATTGTAACTTAAGCGGTTTACACTGCATTGTTTATTTTCTAAAATAGCTTGTATTCAGGGGGGAAAAAAGGACATTTAGGAGAGAAAAAAAGTAGGGTAACTTCTGTTCCATTCCCTTTTAGCAGCTATACCAATACAAGCCTCCAACCTAGGCATTCTTCATGGTTCACAGTACTAATCATGTTCTTGGCAATTATGAGGTGAAAAATCTAAGTTTCCTGCTTTTCACGTCAACTTGGACTCATCATTTGCTAGTCTTTCTCAAATACAAAATTGGAAGGATTTTGTAAAGAAAAATTATGAGGTCATACAAATAAAAAAAGTCCTAGAAACGAAAACATCTCAGTACACAAACACTAGTGATGTGCTTAAAAGACTGTTTTTGTTGCAGAAGAAAAGGAGCAAGTTGCTGGAAAACTGTTATAAGTCTGACTGTTACTTTTTTTTCCTCTGAAACTCTGGGAGGAGAAAATCTTATATTTTATGCTATTTAAACTAAAAGTTCCTTAGATACAGTCCACAAAGAACTAGCTGGCTGCTGCTCCTTATTTGCTGTTGCTTATCTGCATTAAGAGACAAATTAAAAACAAACCTTTCCTAATCAGGATGAGTTTCCTTTCTCAGCAATTTGCCTACACGGAATTGCATATAATGAGAAATCTGTATACTGATGTCAGATATCACAAATGAGACAGGAACTGTTCTCTGAGCCAGCTACTAGGATATGATGATCTAGGTTCTCAAAAGGTTTGGTTTAGGTAAATTTGATTCTCATCTCACAACATAAAAGCTTTTAGAGTTGGGTTTTCTTATGAAATCAATATATAGAGATAGGCCTTTTCACACTTTTCAAACCCTTAAACCAACTTCAGATGCAAAGAATGATGAAGTAAATATTAAAAGTAAAGATCATACATATATATAAAAAAATCCAAGAATTCATTTCTTCACAGAGCCTGAAGAAAAACAGTGCTATTGCTTCAGACCAAGGGTAAGTGCCCCACTACTCATTTTTGTGCCTGCAGAAATCACTGGAAAATAAAAATGAACCACAGGACAAATAAAAACCTCCTTAATTTTTGAAATGGATTTAGGACAATATGATGTCTCTCTGAAAAAAAAGAAACAAAAATATTCTCTTTTGAATCAAAGTAGAAAAAAATGCTAGATTTACAGCATTATCAAACTTTTCATAGTCTTCATTGCTGAATTAGTATATGAACTTAACACCTGTTGTCATTCAATTATCCTATTACTATGCTATGCAAAGCCCCTGATACGTTATTACATATTTTGAGAAAAACAAATGCATTTGGAAATTCTATTTATAGCTCAGATACATTCAATAATATTTTTATACACTGCTTCTTGTAAAAACTATTGAGTTTATGTAACATATTACATATTAGGAAACATCTACACATGTGGATCTCATGTTGACTTGGCTACACAGGAATTTATAGTGAACAAGCAGCTCACAGTCATTTGTTTGCTTCAGTGATATTGTCTGGTATCACCAAAAGCCTCTCTGTAAAACTCCTTTGCCCTTTGAACTTGATCAAACGCTGGTGAAACTGAAACAAAAGGTTACTTCCGTGGGAAATACTTCAAATCCTTTGCCTAGATTTCATTTTTGTAGGAATTACAGATCCCTTTGAAAGAAAGATGTTTACTAAACAAATAGTTCCACTGTCAGCTCTGCTCATATGCCTCCAAAAAGGAAGTCTTCTGCTCATATTCATCACAGCCATACTAATTAAAGGTAGGAAGTTGAAAAACAGTGGCCATGTTTTTAACCAAATAATTGTCTATTTTGCTGGTGAATACCCAATATTGTGTGCAACAAATCCAGGGTTAGGGTGTGCTTGTCCTTTAGCAGGTTTGTCAAGCTGCAAAAGCTATTTTCCTGGGATGATTTAAAAATATGTTTACAGTGACAAGTACAGAGAGAAGTACGCATACTGGCTGGACACACAGTTCTGGCTCAGAAACTATACATTTATCTTAGTAGACCACTGTACAAAAGATAATAGGTGCTGCTGGGAATCCAAGTATATTACTACAAATGTAACATTGCATTGATGAGGATATGTAGCTTTGGAACCCAAAACTGCTCACACCTGACCATGTAAAGTTAAAGCATTAGAAAAGGGCAGAAGTCATCTGGCTGACTCCAGCTACGCAGATAGAGTTTCAAAGTCTGTGCCCTTATCATCTGAAGCCATATAGGGGGAAGGAAAAGCAGTGGGATCCTGTCTGGGGAGGTTCTCAACAGTGCAAGGAAACATAAAATAGACTGCCTTTTTTCATCATCATCATCATCAGTATTTGTCTTTTCTATATTCTCTCACTTTTTTTCTATTTCAACCCTTCAGCCTCATCACCCATTTCTGTCAGTGCCTCTCCCCACACGCCATTATACTTCCAAATCAGACACCACTGCCATTTCTTCCTTTGGAGGTCTCCATGCTGTCTGGGAAAAATGTAAAGCAGAGAAGGACGGAAGAAAGAGACCAATATACTGCATTAAATCTGATGTTAATGTTTCCCTGCAGCATTGCCAATTATCACTCACAATTGTAAATCCTGTGATATTTGGTGTATTTTGACTCAAAAGGCCATACGAGACTCTTGACTTCATATTTTATCTGAATGTTTCCATTCCTCACGGTTGTGGAGAAAGCCTTACACTTGATCTCTCTCCGCGTGAAAAGCTAGCAAATTAATGAATTCTACTTTTAAATCTTGTAATTTTCAGTTTATGCCATGAGGTTAGAGTGTATTACAGTCTAAGACAGACAGTTCTTTCCAAACATGTACTGAGCGGTCACTGGCTATGACATGGCTTGGCTATGACAGAGCTTGGGTTTGCAAAAAAACTCAACACCTCCAGTGGTGTGAGAAAGTCTGAAGCACTGTTCAGATGAAATACAAGGGAAAAACCCTAAATGTACAGCAGCCCTGCTGTGCCTTGTTTATCATACTCCAAGACAACAGACAACTCCAAAATCTTCTTTCCCTTATTATTCTACATGTCTAATCCCCCGGAACCACTACTACTACTACTTCTATGTTAATCTTTTTTAATAAAAACTTTACAATTTACTCAGTAAAAACATTCACACTGCCCTTACTTTTTAAATTACTGTAAATGTCTTTTCACATGAAAAATGCAGCTAAATTTTAAGGCAACTATGTCAACTGCCTGTGCATGTCTCAAACTATGTTAGCACACACTTCACCCCAAATTTATCTTGAAAGCCACGCTTGTACTAAGACACAACATAAATAAATTAGCATCAATTAGGTTAAGGATGGAAGACTACTGTCTGTTTGCTATAGTATCTATGAATAATGAAGTTAATATTCATTGAATACAATATGTATATATTACATTTAAACACCAGTCCTTGTTTTTCATTTCTAGGATGCAATATTTTTACACATGGAACTTCAACTTCTAATCTCTACTGCAACGCAGTCCCACCACAATTGTAATCAGATTAAACATAAATATAAAAAAAGAAAAGGCACTGAATTTATAATATTGATTAAAATTCCACATCTTGCACATCAGAAAAAAAAAACATATAAGAGGATATTAGGATATCTTGACAGAGGAGACACATAAAAAAACCAAAGATAGATTAAGCCTATGTTACATGAAGAATAACTTTTAAAAAATTCCCCAGAAACATAAACCCCATGGTGCATTCTTAATACCAAAAAGAAATTATCTGCCATAACTATATAAAAATTGTGCTGATATTGCAGAATTTCATTATAAGATTAAATGGTATATGGACCAAGAACAAAAAAGGAACTGCAAAAGGTCTTCCAGAGGCATTCAACATGCATGAACTACAGTGGTCACTACTCTGACCCAAAGGCAGGAAACATACTTCAAAATGGAAAAAAAAAATCCAAAAAGGAGAAGACACAAAAGACAAAGTTTTCTTTACAACATTGAATGCCAAAGCACAGAATGAGTTGTCAGTTCTCTGTGGCGAGAAGAAAGACCATTGTGTTAGATGATTCACTATACATTTTACTTAGATTATCTCTTTTACATTCACAATGAACTCAATAAAATTGAAGGAAAGCAGTATCAGGATCAGTTTATATGTAATAACATTGTACTATCTATATTGCTGCACTGTACTCCCTCTATTTTGGCCTGCAGTAAGAAGAGACTTGAGCATTCTAACACAGAGTGTAAAAAATGCTCTATAATAATCAGAAGACTTTGCTATCATTGAAATCTTTGCTTCCTTTATTGTTTTAACCCATGTTTTAACCTACGTTTTATGAACATAGCTGCAGCTTTTAAAGTCACTGATTGAGAAGAACAGGATACACAAAGAATCAAGGTCTGTGTATTATACTTGAGATCATATTTAAAGCATGATCATCAGCAGATAGTTTCCTTACCTGGTAAAGCATGATAGGTTCTATGCTATATCCTAGTATATCAGCAAACTCCTTAGCAATAACAGTTTTGCCACAGCCCTAAAAAGTAAAAAAATAAGAATTAGATTATATTCTAAGGATCATGAGGAAAGGGGGAGAATTGAAATTTAAATTCTTACTTTTCCTCCAATTAAGCACATATCTTTAACCATATGGGATTGCATCATTTCTGCCAACAGTTGATTATGGCTGGAAGTCCTTATGAAAGTATCTGATCGAGGATGATTTTTTAACAGTCCAGTTCCAGCTGGAACCTATAAGAAAAAAAAGAATCATAATCCTAAATAAGCTACACCATGATAATGCTAGGCTTTGTGTAGACTAGGTGACACTTGTCCAAAACTACTGTAATATTTTGTTGATAATTGTCATCCATCAAACTTGGAATCGTCACTGTCACAAAATTTAATCATATAATTTCTGATAGACAAAGTCCTTCACATCTCCTTTGTCTACACTTCATGAAAAAGATTAACAAAATGTGAATCAATTCAATTGCACCTTTGGGGTCTGTGAAGAACTTTAGGCTTTTCGTGCTAGAGACAAAATAAAAAAACCCAATATTCACTGCTCATCAGAGAAACACAGAAGAGAAAGAGCAATTAGTATTGTGAAAATCTGAAGGAGCTACTTTGACCAGAACCTTGGAGAGTTTCACCACATTAAGGCACTTGCTCTGTTTCCACTTCCTGTTCTAGTCTGATAACTGTTTCATCTGCAAACTTCTTATGCCCTCCTGTTCCCAGAGACATTCTGTAGACATACTTTCAGAAGGCATCACCTATATGTCAAATGAAAACAAAAATCTTTGCCTCAGAAAAGAGTTGAATCAGATTCCTACAGATTCACCTTTTCCTGAAAAATTCCCATTTGCTGTTGTTCCCCTTTTAACTTTGTCATGGTACAAACTCTCTGAGGATATTCCTCACCAATGTTACTGTGATCTCTCTGACTCACACTAATTCACCTTTACAGACTCTCTAGACCCTCCAATTTCAACATTAACTTCAAATTCTCAGATCAGCATCTGTTTCCTGAATAAGAACTTATTTCACTCCCTAGCAGGTCATAAACTTCATTGGAAGAAACTCAAATTAATCATATTTGATGTGATTACTTTGTTCCACTTTTTCAACATCCTGTGTCTGAACATTACTAAGCACTCATTAGATTTTATTTGAAGTGTAAACAAAGACAGACTATTGTTTTTACTAAAAGAAAAAGCGAAAGCAGCATCAAGAGCATCATAAGTACTCTCTGCTATTCTAATCCAACTAAAAGAAAAAAGAAATTCAGAGGCTTTTTTTTTTATCCAAACTGCAATGATTCACATGGAGGTATGAGTTTATCTAGAAATAAAATCTTGTACATTCATAAACTAATATTCCAATATCTAAATGCATTTCCAGTAAATATCATGTATTAAAAAAAATTCAAATTACTTTCAGTATCAAGTGTAAGTGTCAAATTCTTGATGAAAACAAGTTACTGATTTTTAAAAACATATTATGGTTTGATGAATATAAATTCATACCTGGAATGTCACTTCTTTTTCACCAATTTGGACAGTTACATCAGCTTTGAAGGGTTTGTTTCCATGTACACTTTCTACTTTAGTAATCTTTCTGGGAATCAAGTGGTTTTCTGAATCTTGAAGCTCAAAACGCTGTAGAATTAAGAGGTGAGGAAATTAGTTACTGAATACAACTTTCTGGTTTTTCAAACTGTTCCTTCCAAAGCAATACCAGAAGTTCACAATGAATTGTTTGTGAAGTCCTAAATCCACTTACTTTACTTCAACTTTTACTTTACATACCTGTGATCACATTTTTGATGGCCTATGTATTTTACATTTAAAACCAAGGCAAAGAGATTGTACACCATCTACTTAGTGAGACTGTAGTGACAGATGTAAAGTGAAACTGTCACATGGTGACTTTGCCAAGTCTTAATCTGACAGTCCAAAACAACATGAGAAACGAATGATTGCCTTTAGCAAGTGTAATAATAGATCACCTATCTTTGCAGGTCATTATAACCAATTGCAGATTTAAACATCTGACTACCAATAAAAATAACCACCAAACATGACGTTTACTTAGCCTCACAGCTGCCTTATACAATGAAAACTGAGGACAACCTGTACAAACTAAGCCTTCAGCATGTTCTGGTATATCAAGGACATAAAATGGGACATTTGTCTTCTCAATCCTCTTTTGAGCATTATACTCTCTTATTTTGTGCTGTACATAGAAAGCATGGAAACCATCCAAAAATGTTGGGGAAGGAGAGTCATACTGGGGAGTTTATGCACAAAACCCCTAATAACCAAAACTACTGAATTCATAGAGTCATTTTATTCAACAGAGCGAAAGCTGAGTAAACAAGAGAAAAAGGAATATTATCCAACCCCTTAGAATTCTTAGAAAAAAAATTTTTTAAACAGAAGTCACTAATGTAAAGTAATTATTAAAAAACATGTAGTTTTATTACTACTAGGCTTCATAGCACTGCTGATTAAAGTTTAGAAAGAAAACTGAGATGGGTTTTTACAAACACTTTTGCTCTTCATCACTTCATAAATTCCCTTTCTGGAACAAAACCCTACTAAAATTTTATGTTTAAACATGTATTTAAGATAAATATGCTTTAGTAAAGGGCTGTGCCCAATTATATTCTTATTGTAACAGCTGAGTCTACTTCTGATACCATTAAATGCTTAAACAACAAAAGAGGATAGGAATGTCTACTGAGTAGTATCTCAAACTATGCTTCTAAGAAATGCTCCAATTAGGATTTTGTGAAAGGAACTACCAGATGTTCTCAGTCTTATCTTCATTAGGAAATTACAATATTCTTACAAAGTTAATAGCATTTTGGATAGAGTCAAAGGCGCTCATACACAAAATTGCAAACTGCTTGTACGCTAAAATCCCTTACCAATGCAAGAAAATAACTGTGAGTGAGTAAGAAAATTATCTGCACCAGCAGGCTCTGCATCAAATAACAAAGATTTGGAGACAGCATCGGCAGACCTTGTATACAAAGGTCTTGGGAGCGTAAAATTTCTACAGTGTTTTTTTGTTTGGTTGGAGTTTTTTGTTTTGGTGGGGGTTTTTTGTTTGTTGTTGTTGAGGGTTCTGTAGCCAGCATTTTAGACCCTAAGTCAGGACAGTGAAAAAGGACTGTCTATGTGCAGAATGTTACTGAATTTATATAACTTAAATTCATCTTACTGAATTTGTACAATTTGAATTCATCACATGTAACCACATAGATGCTGCTGAACTGAATACTGTAGTAATTAAACAAGTGACCACACTTACATCTGAACAGGACCAGCAAACAAAACTGTCTGTGGTTTTCACAGCAAGACAGATCTCTTTGACGCAGTTCTTCATTTAGAATTATGATAGGCAGATATGGAATCAGAGTGGTATGAAATGGATGTACAACACATTAAATATACCTCTGCTGAGCCAGAAACAACTTCCTCTACAAAATATTCAAGCTGATAGCTTCAAACGAATAATATTTGTGGCTTGAAATACATTCAGTATTAGAAAGCTTGGGAGATACTGGAGTATGAGATACTCCCATGAGAAGTGGGCAGTCTCATTGACTGAGACTCAAAAGAAAAGCAAAAAGAATAGACTAGCCACCAAAAACCAAGGAAGTGGTTTGGCAGTCCTTAATCGTCAGGCCACATTCTGCATGCTTAGAAACATGTGAGAAAAGGCAAACTGTAATAATTAGAAAAAAATGAAACAAGAATTCTGACTACTTGGAAGTATCTAATGATTGGTAATGTCTCAAAATGGAAATTGCAAGGAATACACTGGCAATCCAGCTGGTCAAAGGAACAGAGAGTTTAAATGAGTAGTAGTTGCAGATGACCACTCTGCTGAACCCACAAGGCAGCTAAGTTATTCAAAAGAGGCATCCAAAGGCTGGAAGATTCTCTGCATGGGAAGGAAAGAGAATTTACCAAATAATAAGAGAACTGAACTGCTTCACAAGAAGCAAAATATGAACTGCAAGTGCAAGATGGGATGGATAGATAGATGAAGTCTGACAGATTCCACTACAGTGGTATGTATTGGCACCAGCAGCATCCATTAACACAAACCCCTAAAGATTATAAAATACTTTGGAAGGAGTAAGAGAGAAACAAATCCTTCCTTGGAACAAAATTTGCAAAAGAAATACCTGAGAAGTGAATAGAATTCTTCTGAAGAAGGATTATTCTTGTCTACACAAGAAATAAGATTCCAGTTTTCTGAGCTATTAGGCCACTCTCTGTGAGAGTGCCTACGTAATGTGAAGATTCCCCACTGCAAGGCAAGGAAACAGTTTCTGAGGAGGAGGTCAGGTAAGATTAAAGTGGGTGAGCAAGTAATAGAAAAATAGGTAAAAGGAACAAAAAAGCTTTATTTGATACAAGATCAAGACAGTAAACACAGAATTAATCAAAACATGAAAAAAGTGAAGAAAAATTCTAGGGCCTTAGAATGAAGTTAAAAGCTTGGATACAGGCTAAAATAGACTTGCTCATTTATTAAGACAAATCTGATCTATATGCTATTTCTAAAATCTCGTGGAAAGATTCTCCTGATTAAACTGTACAAAAGTCCAAAAAGTGGGTGTTGCCTACTTGTTCAAAGAGGTACAGGTATGTGAGAATTAAAAAGAGCAAACCCAAAATATCCAATGACTTTCAGTAAAATACTGCAAGTTTATGCGACAAGGAAGAAATAACTATCAAAAAGTTGGAGTCTCTTATGAGCCACCAAACTCAATCTAAATGAAGATGACCAGTTTTTAAAAAGCCTGTTACTGTTCTACTAACAGATAGAAGTCTATTTTCACACAGATGAAGGTTCTTATGGGCAACTTCAATTACCCTGAACTGTGGTGGATGGGCAACACAGTGTGGCACAGAATCACAGAAGGAGTCAGGTTGGAAGGGACCACAGTAGGTCACCTGATCCAACCTCCCAGCTCCAGCAGGGTCATCCTAGAGTACATTGCATGGGACTGTGTTAGATGGTTCTTGAATATCTCCAATGAGGGAGACTCCACAACCTCTCTGGGCAATCTGTTCCACTGCTCAGTCACCTGCACAGGAAAGAAGTTCTTCCCCATGTTCAGGTGGAGCTTCCTGTGCATCAGTTTCTTCCTGTTAACTCTTGTTCTATTGCTTAGCACCACTGAGAAAAGCCTGGTTCCATCCTCTTGACACCCTCCCTTCAGATACTTAGAGACATGGATGAGGTCCCCACTCAGTCATCTCTTCTCTAAGTTAAACAGGCCAGGTTTCATAAGAGATGCTCTCTTATTGCCCTTTGCTGAACCCACTCCAGGAGCTCCATGTCTCTCTTGCACTGAGGAGCCCAGAACTGGACACAATACTCCAGATGTAGCCTCCCCAGGGCTGACTAGAGGGGTAGGATGACCTCCCTCGAGCTGCTGGCAATGGTTTTCCTAATGCACCCAAGAATACCAGTGGCTTTCTTGGCCACAAGGGCACACTGCTGGCTCATGGATAGCTTGTTGTCCACTAGGGCCCTCAGGTCCTTCTCCGCAGAGTTAATCAATCTAGATTTCTGAGGCTACTTGGAATAATGTCTCAGCACAGGCACTGCACTGGCTAGGAAGGGGTGATGCACAGACAGCTCCCACTATACACAAACAAGGAACAGTTGGTCACGGATGTGGCAATCAATCACAGCCTTGGTTGTAGCAACTATGAAATAATGGAATTCAAAATCCTGAGGGGTAGTGATGAAGGCAAGTGACAAATGACTTCAGATACTGGATTTGAGGCCATATTGGCTTCTTCAGAGAAGTAATAGGAAAGACCCCACAGGAGTCACCTTTGACAGTTCAGAAAAGCTAGCAGCTCATTAAGGACAATGTCCTTCAAATGGAAGGACTGTCCATACCAAAACTCAAGAAGACAAGTAGAAGAGCAGCCTAGTTACACACGGAATAGAGGACTGAACTCCAAAGCAAAAAGGCAGTATATGGAGGGGGGATGTGTCAGCAGGGATGGGCTAGAAACATTTCCCTGACACATAAGCTTGGTTTTAGGGAAACCAAAAATTCACTAGTTAGCTACAAAGTTGGTTATTTCCAAATACGCACATTCAAATAACATCTAATTTTTAGCACTGAAAGAGCTGGGTAAGATGATCTAAGCTGTGAATGCTAATATTCAACAACACCCATAACTCCTATAACGTATTAAAAAATGAAAGAAAGCGGACACCGTGCTTATGCTTTAAAAGAATAAGTGGAATAACCCAGCGTAATTAGACTTTGTCAGCTATTACCAAACATCGATAAACCAACAAAACAGACCTGACCAACAACAAGCAAAAAAAGGGTAACACCAAACAAATCCATAGACCATTATAATCTACAATTATGCTATACTGAATGTATTTTGTGCATGTCATATCTATAGCCCTTTTAGTATCTTCTCTTAAAAGTCAAATGCCAGAGGTGTTTTTTAAGAATTTGACTACTTTAACCATATAAGCAGCTACTTTCAAGTTAATTAACCACTTATTATATAATGAGGATTCTTCTGGAGCCTTTAACTGAGGTCTAAATATTTCAGACAACCTAGAGGCTTCACCTTTCACTATAACAAAATTTACTAGCTTATGAAGGTTTTAAAAAATACTATGATGAAGATTTTAAGCATCAGCAATAATGTAGCCATTTAGTTTACTTTAAATTTCTTTTTTATGCAAAAGTAGCAAAGTAACATTAGTCAAAGAACTACTGCCATAATCCATCACTCCCTGGAATTACAATACTTACTAAAAGTAAATGCAATACTTACTTTTAACATGTCTTTGACTGCAGTCCTGCCTTCCTTTCCAAGGAAAATATTATAGGGGTAAAGCCGGTCAATAACATGCTGGACTGACATCATAGGAAAGGAATCCTAATTCAAATTTAAAAATATAAATTAAAAAAATTATAGGCTCATTCTGTCCCCAGCCATTAAACAAAAAATCTTATATAGCTTTGAAATTAAAATAAGACTGTAAGGGCAATATACAATGACCACTATAAACAGTACTCAATTAATTGTCAAAACAGAAATTTCTCAGGTGTAATTCAATATAATGTAAACGTCCATAGCAGATTAGAAGAACTATGTCCTAAAATTTATTTTCTTTCCTGTGCATAAATGGAAGTTATGGTGATGGGCTCAGATACCAAAAGACATATATGGCCAAGAGAGATAAATCCCACTACCAGTAACTGAGTTTCACAGTACTACTAGAAAAGAATCAGTATGACAAGAAATCTGTATTACAGTAAGGATCTACTTGTGTACACAATGATGTGTACATTCACAGAAATTTAGAAGATTTAATTTTGATTCTATTATATTGTACAGGTTCTATTTACCAAATCTGTGCATAGACATTTCTGAGCAGCTTGACTAAAACTGTTCTGTTTTGAAGTAAGTTACTAAGTATGCTTCCACTTTCTATACAAAATTGAAAACAAAGGGTTTTTTTACTTTTTTAAAAGTTGTTAGTTTTAAGTACTAACTCTTCTGTCAGGTGCTGCGAACTAGATGAAGATTTTATTATTTTGCTGCAGTAACAGAAAGAAAGAGAAATGAATTTATGACTACTCAAGAAACTATGCATAAAGCCTTTTGTGGTATGAAAAAAGGGTTTCAAACCCCCTAAGTTAAGTATTGATTGTTTGCTTCAATAACGACTTGCAAATATTTAAGGACTACTTGTGTGTAACACTAGTGAAAAACAGTCACTGGGCTGGCACTATCTTTTTAAGCCTTCATCAAAGTGAATATTATAATTCAAACGAAACCAACTGATTTTCAGTTACACACTTGGATTTACATTACTGAAAGAAAGTTCCTTGGAAATGAAACCAGGAGACGCATACTCTATGAAATGTGTCATTCAATTTATATTTATAAGCAGTAATAGATTTATATTATTTATAATGTTCCACATTAAAAAAAAACCCTGTAAAAATAAACCATTTAATGCACTGTAGTAAATGTACTGCTTCAAGGATCAGGGAGCCCTTTATTGCATTTTAAAAGCCTTCCGTCTATATATAAAGACATACCATGTAATTTGTCCACATTATCTCAAATGAATAATAATTACAATGGCGTGTATAAAATTAGCCTTTTCAGAACAGGATCCTATTAAAAAATTCTCCTTTTCAGCAGGCAGGAGTTTTCAAGCCAAGATATATGTTTTAGGACTGTGTGAATCCATGACAGAAGATAAGAAACTACTCACTACAATACATTCCCTCCTTCCCTCCACACTTTTAAACAGTTAAACTAGCCAAGCTAGAAGCAGAGGATGGCACTGACCCAGCACATGAAGGAAAAATGCTGTAGCTAGTAATCACTGAGAACAGTCAGCTTAGAAAACCAAGTGATTAAAACTAATTCTAAAAGAAACAGTTTTCATCTACCTAAAAAAGACACTGTCATACAATGATAGTTTACATTCTCTAATGCAAAATAAAATGCTTCCTTCATTCCATAGTTTAGGTAATAGCATAGGGTTCATTTTGTTTCTGTTACTCTGAAAGCCATCTGGCATTCATTTAAAAATAATTTTTCACCATGGGGCTCAAAGAATAAAAAGTTGCAATTTATTTTAAAATCCAACACGTATTTCTTTCCTAAAGCCCTCCAAATCCTGCTTCATTTCACTGAACTTGAATTTTAATGAGTTCTACATCTAATGTAGGATCACAAATTCAGAAAATAAATTATGTCTGTAAGTATCCAGCACAACTGAGGGGACCGAGCACCACAGTAACTATATTTCAATGTATATAATCCAATAAAACATGTAGAAAGTGATCTGCTGCTGAGCAGTACCATAGGTAGAAGGACTGCATATGAGACAACAGAGAACTATCCCGAGATCCTTCTACCGACTCCTGCACCTTGGAGAGAGGGTTTGAGAAACTGTCCTTGTACTTTACCCTCCTAGGCTGACCATATCTTACTGCATGCAAAAGGGCACCAACCCCTCTCTCTCTTCATACAGATCTCATCTCCCTGACTTCCTTCAGGAGGCACCTTCCATTCTGACTTTGGCTTTTTACCATGTAATTATAAAGTCCAAGAGACAGAGGACTATCTGGGAAAGCAGAAGGACTGCCACAGCTTTATTCCTGATCTGCCTGATCTGTCACTGTAAATTCAGCAGGTGTACAGTTGCGTATTTCCTTATGAACCGCAGGTGTCAGGAAGCACTGCATCTTCAAGTGTGCAAAACCTGCCTCTTCACGTAACCCTCCATTTCCATGTTTATTCTAAATCCATCAGACCACCCAAAGACCTAATGTAGGCTTCATCTCAGACATCGTAACTGTTTCCTCCACCCACATTCGAATAGTTTCTTGGGTCCTTTAACATATCAGTTGGAGAACAACAGGTGTCTTTGTAATGCGATCAATCTGATTTAAAGCATAACATTAAATCCAAAGCACTTTTAGGTTGTGCTTTTTATTTCTCTCCAGTGACTACCTGAGTGCTGCCAGGTAAACCATAGATGACCCTGAAGTCAGGTAACATGATTCACTAGAGAGGAAAAAATAATAAATTGAGCGCTAAGATACATTTAATCACAGTACAAATTTTATGTCATATCATACTTCATCTTTCAATGTTATGCTATATGCTTGGTTAAAATATTATCCAGAGACATCTGAGTGAGACTTTTCTTCCTCAAACTATTCTTAGTTTTTTCAGGTTTCCTTTTTAAATATTCATGTTAATCTTCTTCTGACAAGATGAATAAACCAGATCTGAGAAATTTTAAGCCCATACAGTTTCACAGCATGTGTATGCACATACCAAAATCTGAACGGCAGCCGATAAGCTGTCTAAAGGAAAATCTGGAAGTCCCAGTGTAGAAGATTCTTGAGAGCAGAGAGTTGTAGCAAAAGACAGGAGCTGAGAAATTCTGCATAGGAAAAAGAATTACAGAGTTTTATACATGCTATCTATATTTAAAATACTAAAGCATAAAAAGTTAAATACAGTTAAAGATGCTGGAACTACTTCTGAGAGCAAACAAGTAAGGTGTAACTGAAGTTCTAAAGCATGAAGGCTGCATACAAAAAGCAGTGTGAGCATATACCCACTCATAAAAAAAATTTCTTCAGTTCCTGTCTCTATGCAGTGATAGAGAAGCAAAAATAGCACGGAATCCTGCAAGGACATCACTTATTCATTTTTTCAATTTTTTTTTTAATTATGAAAAATTACCTCTCTGTGGAAATGTTTGATCCAATTGAATATAATAGCTGAAGATGGTCCTGAAAATAGAACATAAAATCACAGAATAAATTAATTTTGGGATCATATTGTGGGTCACAGGTCATGATATATATGGCATTTTCTATCTTTTCCTATAATTTAGACGTGAGGATTCTACTCACTCCTTGTCATAGAATTAATTTTATTTAAGAAAAAAAAATCAAATTCTTATATGTTTTACAGAAGTTACTTTTCTGCTGCAGCATTCCATGGCAACTCTAAACCTGCATCTCAGGAATATATTATTAAAAATGTACTTTGATATAAATTCATAAGTCAAGAATTCTTTTCAGAGGTGAGGTAAGTAAAACATAACATCAAAATATTATCTTTACCCAGTACGAATAATCCAATCTTCTGCTACAACACTCACCTTAAAGGGCAGATGATAAACATCTCTAGCTTGAAATCGAGAGCGAAGAGGTGGATCCAAAGGGTTACCAGAGTATTTAGGTACTGGCAGGCCCAGTGCTATCACTCGAAAATCTTCACTGACCCGAACAATCTTCCATGCATCTAACTCTGATTTTGTATGATCCTAAATAAATTAAAATAAAGCAACAAGAAGAAAAAAACCCCACATCATTAAAAACTTATGATGACTAAGCTTCAGATCAATTAACAGCGCTGGTCCTTCAACCTAAATGTAGTAGTGTTCTCATCTTTCATTGAGAGTGGCTAGAAAGCATTGAACTCGTCAAATCTGTGGAAGGTAAAACCAAGTTTTTTCAAAATGAACATAAAAAGAATGCTTGATTAGGTACAGCTTTCAGGCCTGTAGCAATTTGACCAAAAACCCCACAGATGGTGGTGCCTGTTGTGATGCTACCTTACATTACATCATGTGAAAAGGTACTAATATAAGACTGTTTTTATGAAGAACAGAAAATATACAGACCACAACGTTTATTCTACTCTAAAATATTAGAATTGGTTTACCACAAACAAGCTTTTTTCTTCTTCCCCCCCTATTACAAGCGTAAAGGCAACTAAAAATCTCCATTTTAAAACTTCCATTTAAAAATTATGTTGTATTATATTAAATAATACAAAACTAGCCTCCTTTATGTATTATTGTCAAGTAAAGGATTCATTACACCAAAAAATGCAGTCTTTATCTTTCCACATCACAGTTAAGACTTCCTTGAAACCACACATGAGTACATTTCCTTCAGACCTAGATGCACAGTAATTATTCACACAGGAGAAGCAAAATGAACATTAGTTTATATAATACAATATTCCCCAAACAATAAAACAACAATATTAGATTTAATATTGTAGCAAGAGATTTATTTAACTCATAAACTATTAGCAGTTTGCCTGAGGCACTCATTTTGAAACATTTAATCATTAGAAAAGTGTTAAATGGAAAAAGGAAAAGAAAATGTTTTGCAACTGAATCTGTTTGAATTCTCATTTTCAGTCTTTAAATAAAACTACATTTTAAAGCTTTGTTTTGAAATATAATAATAATACTTCCAATAACTGCATCTACTAATTAAATATAATAAAATATTTTTGGAAAAGGCATGGATCAGAAGAATTTTAACCACAGATGAGAGGCATAAGAAATATATATATATTTTTAGAAATTCACTATGGTACTTCACCACAGCTGGTAAGTTCATGCAATTGAGACCAATGACAGAAGACTTAGTGCATATTTCCCTCCTGTGCCACATGGGTCTGAATTATATAAGTAACCACAGTTAGGTATGGCAGACAGAAACGTGAGCAAGCAGGTGTTAGACTGACAGGTATGTGACTGGCAACTACAGTACATGAAAGTAAGATGCAAAGTACTACTGAAACTGTCAAAAAAAAAATAATGTTAGTGAGTAAAATCTCATTTCCTATCAATCTAACCATTTTCTATAGTTTAGATTGCTCTTTACATATACTTTTGCAAATTAAAGGCAAAACAGCACCAATGAATACAGTGTCGCTCATCTTGACCTCATTTGTTTGGTATCCTAACATTTTAAAGGCTTAGCAACAAGGCTATTGCAATGTTGAAGCATTATCTGAACTTCATGGGAACAATTTCAACTTAAATATCTTTTCACAAGTATATTTTAGTTCCACGTTTTAGAAACATACACACTTCATATAAGGTTAACATGGACTACTCTTTTTCCTGTGAAGACAAGATACAGATGAAAACTTTTTGTTTTTGAAAACAGTAGTTTGACTTCCCACATAGCTTACCCTGCCTACTTCATTCTATGCAACATTCCAGAAAAAAACCACAGAAACCTTGGTGAGATTTCCCCCATTTGATTTGTAAGTACTCTCCCCTTCACAACAGTATTCCAGCACTACCAAGAACAGGAAAAAAAAAAAGAAAAAGGAAAATCCAAAGAGCATTTCCATACCTGCAAAAGTTTGTCATAACGCTCTGCAGACATGAGAAAACGACCATCTTCAAGCTGCATTTCCCTATTCTCCAGTAAATTGTTTAACACTGGCAGGACGTTCCGCTCAGCCTTCTCCAAGCCTTCCAGAACAAGAATTCTGCCTTCAGTAGCTGCACGAACCGCACACTTTTAAAAAAAATAAAGCCCCACAATATTATAATAGAATTAAACCTTCCATATTTCATTAAATCCTGCTGAAAAAGAACCTCCAAGTGTTTCCCAAAACAGTGCCTCTTTCTGTAAGAATTAGTAAGATTCACATCAGTAGCAATCAGGAAGAATGACAGCTGACTACTTTAACAGTGCTTCACATTCATGAGCTGGACTTTTATCTCCTAACTATTACAGGGACTGACAGAAATAAGTTCTTCTATTTTGTACCAACAGAATAAAATATAAAACTTTGCAGAATTTTAGTGTATACACAGTATATATTAATATGTGACATCCTTTCTTTTTGATGTCACATAATATTTTGCACTTTTGGGTATTTTAACAATTCTGGGATAGGTATCTAAACAGAAAACATACAATCAAGGTGGTTTTACACGTTGACAATTATATTAAAATACTTAGAAAAAGGTCTGGTATTCCTTTGGATTTTTCAGAATATGCACCAGCATAATGCATCCTCAGCACATTGCTTAGTCTGATTAGATTATAAATCTATTGAAATCAAACATGGATGATGAAAACAAAATAGTGCTAATAAATAATACATTTTTTTTAAAAGTGAAAAAATAAAAAATATTTAGAAGTATATTCCCTGACTGAATACGGTCTTCTACAAAAACAGAATAAAAATGCAGCCATTGACTTTATAATCCTTTGGAGACTTAGGGACAGAAAATTATTTCTTTTCTAGTTAATTTGTTGTTTACATATGGCTGCTTATCTAAGTGCATAATGCTGAGCCAAAATGTAAAACTAAGCTGTGCTGGTGATTTCATGCAACCTTATTATAATGACATTCACTCAAGTACATTAACTGCACTTGCTATCTAATATTCCTAATTACTGCCCAGTAAAAGACTCCAAAATACAATGCATTCTTGTGCTTTTCCAATTTGCAGAAGTTTAATCAGATAACAACACGGCACGTTTGGGCACAGGTCACATTTAGAGGCATCAAAGAGTCTTTCTTTGCATTCCTATCACATTTAAATAAAATTTTAGTCACAAGCACAGTTACAAAGGGAGACAAATGAAGTCTCTTTAGATTATGCCTCCCATAAACTCCTACAGAAGAACCTGTCATATAATACTAGATGGAAATCTCTGATGAATACAATAGATGCCAAAAATTGGGTCAGAGAGAAAGAAGGAAGATATGAGAAAGAATAATGGAGAAACATTAGAACACAAAAATGACTCGAAAAATTATATATGAAAGCAGATGTATAAAGGATGCATAAGGACAGAGACGAAGAGTTCTGCACAACAAATTGATTGCTATGTGTTCTAAAGCATCCAACTGAATCAGAGATCCATCTGAGAAGACAGTAAATGATAAGACTAATTAATTAAGATGCTTCTTATGCACAGTTTAGAAACATAACTAACAACTGGTAAATTAGCCATAACATAAGCTTTTCACATTGCTATTAAAACGGAAATAATCCCTAATCATTAATGTATCTAATACAGACCCAGGCAAACACTACTGAAAAAAGGAACTACTAAATCTTGGTACACATCTCCAGATCAAGCTCCTTTCTTAGAAAGACGAGATTTTTATATCTGGTCTCACAATCAGTATCTGAGGAACATGGAATAAACCTGTTAAAATAAGCGACAATGCTTAGATTATTTCTCTTCCACTGAACCACCAATTCTTTAAATAAGCAATGAATTTTGTTGTTGTTGTTGTTCATTGGGGACATTATAACCTACTAACAGGCAACATAAAATACCCTTCTCCTTATCCCATAAAATGTATACCAAGGATAAATTCTCTATTAACATTCTTCCCTAGAAAGGTCACTGGTCAAGTAAAAAATCTGCTTCAACCCGTTTGAATAGAAAACCTGAGTCTCCACCAGACAGTCCAATACCTGGCATGAACAAAATGCGATTTTGTCTAAACGCAGCCTGGAAATACAGCCAGAATACACTTTAACAAACAGTTTATTTGCCAAGCTGGTTGGATTATGCACATTTTAAGTCTGTGAAGACTTTATGACTGATTTTTACTAGCCAGAGGAAAATACACATTCTGTTCATATGGTTTCAAAATATTTTGAGTATCCATAGAATCTTGTTGACTCACGTTGAGACACGCACACTATGGATGAAGGCTTACTGAAACGACAGGCTTCCAGTATCAACACAAACCTCTTTCTTGAACTTGTATATGAAGGATATCTGCTGTAGGAGTGACACTGCTGACAGTGAATATTAGGAAGTATATAAAAATCATTAACTTCAAGAAAGAAGATACTCTTCTTTAGCAGTGTAATCTTGAGAAGCAGCCTACTACACTATGCTGACTGCTGATCATCAGGACCAAATACAGAGCTTGGAAACTGTTCGAAGTTGTTAGTCAAAGTCCTATTTCTCGAGAAAACAAAATTTCAAGATAAGCTTCAAATTATCTTTACCTACCTATATGTACCTTTAACAATCAGCTTCAGGAAAGACTGAATGTACAACCATGGTTTTTTACTTCTTAATCAAAGACACCCCATAACAATGATACCATGACCACGACCTGGGTTCTAATGTACTCTGATTGGCCTTCGACCAAACTGTGTTCCTTTATTTATCTTCAAAGCCTATCTGAAATAATGGAAGTTTTTCTCCAGAATACAATTAAGTAATGCACACTTCATCTACCTCTAAAATTCTTGTGTTAAGTAGCATAAAGTCTGCTCTTAAGATCAGAACAGCTGAACTATCTCTTGCTGAACTATGCTATTTCTGCATTCTGGTTGTTAATAAGTAGTAAGTTTTTGCTAGGCATACTACAAGGCATCCTCTGAATCATTACTTCAGCTTTATCTGTGTATTGATGGATTGGTATGGAAACTAAAATGCAATAAAAAAATCAGAGGAAGGAAAGTAAGTTTGCAATCTGCCACTGAAAATCGTTTTTTAAAAATGCTTCCAAGAAACAAATCTTCATAATTCTATAAAGAGAACCCAGAAAGAGTTGCACTGCCTCCCTCTCTCACTAGCCTTGTTCATTCTAAATGTTTAATATCAAACATAAATTTGACGGGGGGGCTTATATCATGCAACCTTGCTAATAAATCTAAGATTAAACATATAAATACTTGTTAAAAGGTCAAGAGGGATTTCTTAAATGTTTACTTTCAGATTTATTGTCACTGCAGTGAGGGACTATTTTGCTCATCAGAGGAGGACAGATGCTGCTGCCTCCCACCTGTGCTCCCAGGGCTCTGGAAGGATGGTAACCTGGATACCTGCTCCAGGGAATACCTGCAGCTACTGCAGGCTGGGAGCAGAAACCTTTCACACAGCACTGATCTCACTGTAATGGCTTTATGCAACAAATACGTAACACAGAATGCTTACCACAGTTTCACACTGCATCTAAAAATACATATATTTTACCTTTAAAGGAAAAACCACCTTAGAAACAAGACAACCCTAAGCAGACTTTCATTGACTTTTCTGTAGCTGAACCACAGTGGGCTCCTCCATTTGAGCATTGCAAAATATAAGTGCAGGAAGCTGTAAACCCCAGTTTTGACATAAATCACACTGTATAAACACATGGATGAAGTTATATAGTGTTAGAAAGGGATGAAGGACAGAAAAAAGCTCCCCACAATGCACATACTGAAATGCATGAGAACTAATGAGGTAAGGATTCTCAGCATCTGTAGCCTAGCTTTCAGATGTCCCTTCCAATGCAATATCTTGTTCCCACCACCTGCACAATATCCCACACAAACTCATCCACCCAATTCTTTCCAATCATTCTTGTATCTCATAAACATCACAACAATGTAATGTCCAGATGTCATTTATGATGAAAAGAGACCCTTAACAACCATATACTAAAGACAACACAAAACTTTGGCTGGTTTTGAGCTAACATGATGCTGACTGCCTGCAGCAGGCTAAAAGGACTTGATATTAAATCCATGGCACAGTCTGTTTTCCAGCGAAGGGAGGTGGACATTTGAGTCCCTGTAACCTACCATGCTAACAAATATCACAAAACTCAGAGGAAATTGATACCTTCTAAATTTATTTCCATGGGTCAAATACAAGGGATCAAGTTTTTAAAATTTACATTGTTCAAACTAACCAACAAGTAACAGGTAACAGAAAAAGAAATTATAGAGATGCAGAATGGAATATGTTAGGAGCTTTTATTACTCATTTTACCAAGGAAGGAAGAGCACATTGATTAAAGCTTGTAATTTACTGTAAATGGCTCATGTTATTCTTCTAAAAAGATGCAAAAGAACCAATAAGATGATAATTTTTTATAATACTGATATGAAAACAGCAAACTCTCTAGAAATTTAGAGGCAGTCTAGAGATCAACATACAAACACATGTTGGGGCAGTGAAGCATACAAAATTGTCTCCTACCGGGGAAACTACTATGCTAAATTTTAAAGATACCTGTAAACAATGTCTAATTTTTTTCTAATATCCAATCTACACCTCCTCTGGTGCAGCTTGATGCCACTTCCTCTCATCCTGTCACTTGTCACCTGGGAGAAGAGACCTACCTCCATCTTTCTACAACCTCTCTTCAGGTAGTTGTAGAGAGCAATAAGGTCTCCCCTTAACCTAAACAAACCCAGCTCCCTCAGCTGCTCCTCATAAGACTTGTGCTCCAGACCTTTCATCAGCTTCACTGCTCTTCGTTGGACTCAATCCAGCACCTCAGTGTCCTTCGTGTAGTGAGAGGCCCAAAACTGAACACAGGACTCAAGGTATGGCCTCAACAGCACCAAGTACAGAGGGACAATCACTTTCTTGGTCCTGCTGGCTGCACTGTTTCGGATACAAGCCAGGATACCACTGACCTTCTTGGTCACCTCAGCACTCTGCTGGTTCATGTTCAGCTGGCTGTGAACCAGCACCCCCAGGTCCCTTTCCAATGGGCAGCTTTCCAGCCACTCTTCCCCTGGCCTGTAGCA